AGCATCTTCCGCTCGCTGAACGCCTCAAATCCAGTCTCTTTGCAGTACTGGGTATACTGACGCACTATCCTTTGCGGTATCATGGTGCGAATAACATCGGGTACTTCAACCAGTTGTCCAGAGGAGAGCTTCAGTGTTTTTTGCTCAAATGGCAGATCTTGCACCAAATGGGGGCTTGTTATATAACATAAGAAGTGATCCAGTTGTCTTGGGACGACTCTTATCTTTGATGAAGGCTGGCGGGTCACTGAAGCGCCGCTTCTGTGCTGAAGACGATGCAGATTAGCTATGGTAAAATGATATCTACTTAAGCCAGGTATGAATCTCGAGATATCATTATAATTGGAAACACCACACATCATCGAAAGAATTTGCCGTCTTGTGTCCCACCCATGGGCTTTGTCATATGCCTCAGCTAAGACCTGGAGGTAGCATTTGGAAGTTTCGGAGAGTTCGTCCAGCCCGAGTGCTTCGTTCATGGCAGGATAAGAGACGACTGCATGCCAAAGAGAACCTGCACAACTGGGTGTTAGGTCGTGGAGCACAGAAGAAAAAATCTCTGCGGTTCGTCTAGTATACCGAAGCTTAGTGCTGTCACTGACCCAAGGTTGAGAGACAGGTTCAATGTTTTTGGACACCAGATACTCGTTCAACTTTTCACGGGAATTTGGCTTTGAGGTGATGCTCTCTTTACTCGTTGAGGAGACGAGGCTTGCAGTATCGGGACTGAGAAACGTCTCGTCATCCTTCAACCCCTGGGATGATATTTCCAGAAACATCAAGTCCGTCTCTAGACCATCAGAAGATGACTCACTGCCAGCACTTGATTCCTCTCCTGGACGGTCTGTTTCCATCTCATGAACCTACGAAAAGGTTTGCTCTATAAGCATCAAATCTCTAAAACCGATTTCTTTGTATATGTTTGTAGGGAATCAGTTTCGGGTAATAAAAAATCTCAGCAGCACCAGGTACTGTTGCGGGACATCCAGAAAACAAACAAATGTGGGACAGGAATTAGCCTACCAAAGTGCGGCATAGCACCCCTCCCCTTCCCCACCCCTCAAATAAAAAAAAAGTGACCGAAAAGCACTGAGTTTTACTGGTCAACGAAGGAGCCTTGTCCCAGATTAACAACTGTGTTTGTCACGCTGTGTTTGTGTTTGTCACGTGTTTTTTCTTCCTCGATTTTTTTTCCAATTTCTATGCTCTTCTAAAAATGACTCTTTTCCTTTTAAAAAACAAGATTGAGATCATCAATTCATATTTGAAGCTTACCATTGTCTGTTGTTGAGGTATCTGCACCACTCGAGGCTCTTTAGGGGTAGACACAGTACTTGCTCCAGCGCCCTCCGCCGGCGTCTGTTCATCTGCAACTTGCCTGCAGATAAACTTGTCGCATCGCCTACAAATTGCTTTTATTAAAAAAAAAAAAAAAAAAGCAAAGTAAATAACTCATATCAATTACTATTTCTAGGTATAAAGTAATCAATCTGTCATCAATCAATGGATTATCAGCTACTCAGACGAGAAAAAAACGTTGGCAATATAAATTGCAAAGTTTCCTCACAAATATAAAATTTGCTAGCTTGAGAAAGTTGAAACTTATAGTGCTTTTTTTTGTGTAAGGTATTACAAATAAACGTGAGAAAAAGCAATTTCATGAGAACATTTATCAACAGAAGCAATTCAACTTACGCGACCCAACTGGAACTAAGGTGTTGGTGTTCAAAAAATATACATCGATTTTCGGCTATCCACACGGTTGCTTCCTTTGGCACTTGAGGACTTATGTGTCGCTAGATCCTTGGGAATTGCACAAAGGGTTTTCCTAGTCCTCCAACGTATGCCAAAGTCTGCCCTATGGCGTGGGCAAATAGTCAGGGTAAGATGTTTTTGCTCAAATGAGAAAACACCTGTAAAAAATATAACACCAATTAAATCTGTTGCAGCACTCATTCATAAGCACAATAAAGTTACCTGAAAACACACAAAATCAATATTTACCGGCTCTGGCTAATAGCAGCTTCATTTCAGTTCTAGAACCTTCATCTGCACTCAGTCCAAGAGTCGATAGTTGTCCAGTTACATCTTTCGTGCGATCCTCGAGTGTAATGCATTCCACCTGACCAGGATAATCAGGAGATCGCCCGCAAGGGGTCACCTTACCAACTAGCGTTATATAGCTACAGAGAGCCATAAAATGACAAGGAATAATAACTTCTGATGAGAGCACGTATGAAAGCTCAAGACTCGTCCGTGAAATAACTTTCCTTAGATCTGTTACGAAATTTCAACCATTTGCGCAAGAGCTTCGTGGGCAGTGATGACGTGACAGGCTTTACCACGAGAGAAAATTGTGTTTGAATTACAGCATCTTGGTCAAGATGGTGCGAGATGTTGGAAGCTCAATGAAAATACATCTGAGATTGAAGTATAATAGTGTTATCGTGTAGTTATCAGACCTTGAGTAAAGTTTTTGTTTTCAGTCTTTGGTATATTTCATGATGACAGCCCATTTATGGTCTCATGTGGTGCGGCCAGTGTTTGTTGGGACCGGATGTCGGTTAATTATGATAAATAGGAACAATTCGCGTTAATACACTGAACTGCTTGTAAAGAATGCTGTTCTCCTTCTGTATTCGCTGGAATTCTTGATTTATATATACATATATATATATAAAACAAACTAAAACAAAGCCCTTGCAGCTGAAATGTTTAAAAGTCATTCAACAGACTGATCAATTGTCACAATTTTCGTAATCGTAATACTTGTAATGGTGATCGATGAAATGACTGTAAGAACATTTTCGACGGTGATTTTATTTTCTCTCGGCTCTCACACAACTCTGAATGTACGACTTCACTATAACTCAATATTTTGTGGAATACAAGTCAAACATTTCCAGAATTAAAGTTTATTTTAAAACCTTTTTCCACCAGGGAAGGAATGATAAGATTAGCGTTTGTTTACACAACACACATCATTTTGCTCGCTCTGGACACAAACATTTGTGGTATTTTCGAAGGGAAGCGGTCCGATTCAAAGCATCAAAGTTTACTCAGGAAATAAATATTATCATTGTATTACGAATATCAAGTTAAAAAATTGAAAAATGAGGTACCAGGTACACTTTTATCGCGTTAAATTTAACCTATTTTTTGCTCTCATATTAAGCGCTCTTTGAGGGTGTTGCTAAGAAGACTTAAAAATTCTCAGTATCAATGTGTACAGAAAAATTAACATAGTGAAAATGGATGGGAAGGCTTTTTCTTATATCGTGTGAAGTTTGGTGTTAATTGAATTCATTGTAAGCCTTCAACGGAGCTTGGTTTTTGCAGTGAATTTTGGACAATTTGATAGGCGGAAAACCGCACTTAAACCACGTTTTCAAATTTTCGCCAATTTCTAAAAATTTAATAATTGTCGGAACTTTTAAACTTGATTTTTGAAAATAGTTTACCAAAGGGTATCGTTGGGCAAAATATGAGCAATTCACCAAAATGGTCGTTGACGGACGATTCTCGATCCTAACAGGCAGCCATTCTTAATTTTGAGTAATGCACCGCCCCTGGGATAAGGTATTTTTCCTTGACAAAGTTAATGTAACCAGCCATTGACGTGAATAAAAGGATAAAAATTTATACATTTCCACCAACCAAGTTGTGTGAATTAGTTTGAAAACCAAAAGTAAGGTGAAGTCCACTATTGGCTTGCTTTTAGACTTGTAATGACCTCAGTGGTAATAAACTCATCCTTTTTATGATTATTTACATGAAGTTTCACTTAATTTTCACGTCATGTAACTTTCGCAACACTTATTTTTTGCATCTTTTTTATTTTGCGAAAAATCGCGAAATTTTCAAAATTAACATGTTGCAGAAGCTTCATGTAATAAGGTAACTGAAAACATGTGCAGTTAATTTCCAAGTGCTTATAATTTTGATGTTATCCTGATTTTACCTCTCTTCATTAATTGACCTGACACATAGCCTGTGACTTGTAGTTAACACCTGCCACATTTAAATATCATGGATCTGCATTCTTACTATGCTGTCTTTGCATTTAAACAGGCACCTATTGGCATTCATTTTCATTCCTGTCTTCCAGAAAGAAATGGATATCTTTAGGGAAACTGTGTGGAATTCACATAGAGTAAGGAGCCAAAAGGATGCTCAGATGCCTAAAGGGATACCATATCACCTGTACTCGTTCCCTGAGTAATACAATGCAAATGAGTGTGGTAAGGGTATTTTACTGAATATTTGTGTTTTAGAATAATATTTGCAGACTGCACAACAAAGCATGTCTTAGAGAGCCAAGTGTTGCATTTTTGAAGAAATCTTAAAATTTAAAAATTGTTTTAAGAAAACATGATTTCCTGAGTTTAACAGATGTCTAGAACTTTCCAGGACCAGTGTTCTTTTTCCAGGACTTTCCAGACCTGGCCAGTCCTTGAAAATAAGAAAATAAAATTCCAGGATTTTTCAGGTTTTCCAGGACCAGTACGAATCCTTTTTTAATTAATGACCCACCACTAAGTATCGATTCAATGAATTCAATGAGAAACAATGTGTAAAAAGCGGGGATGGTTAAATTAATTTATGGACAGCTTGAGAGATTAAATCATCAATATTATACTTCAATAGAGAGAGAGAGGCCAATACAGATATTTTCAGGGCAGACATGTTGATCCACTCACTAACAAGTTATTAACGGTTAATGTTCAAGTGCTCATCAAGAGCAATTTCCTGTATTGTATAGGTTTGCAAGTCACTTTAGAAGCACTGGATGAGGTTGCTTCATTATCAGGTGTCAAGTCAGTTGGAGATGACTACTTACCAAAAACTGTGAGAGAGAGCTGTGAACGAATTATTCCCAATATTGATGGGGTGAAGCCAGCCGAGGCAGCAGATGCCTATCTTTTCTTAAAGGAGAAGTACAAAGAGTCATCACCATCAGCATCATCATAAAAGTGCATTTTATTGTAACTTTTTTTCCTTATACCGGTAGTTCAAATGTGTAAAAAACATTGTCCAACAAATGGTCCAAGCACAAAGAACTACAGACTTAGTAACATTCATGGACGTTGTAAAAAATGCCAGTGATAAAAAAGATTTGTTATCTTAAATGAACTGTTCCATGCCATGTTCTCCTTCCAATGGTCTGTGAGAAGCATGAAGTAAGGTTTAAACTAACAGCACAACACTTGAAAGGCAGTCACTGAGCTGCTATCTTGTTAAAAGGTGGAAGGTGAATTATGCTCCAGTAATCCATTCTCTTACTGACTTAGGTCCATCATCTTACAGTAGGCATTGCATTCATGTTCATTGAGAAAGCATGTGATGCCCACGGATGAATAATTTCCACAGCAGAAATAGTATTCTAAGCTGCTGGCATCCATTATATCATTTGTTGCTATTTCGGGATCATATAAACAGTAGCCAGATCCCTGTATATCAAGTAACATGAGTTGTTGGTTGGATGATTCATAGGTATAGTGAACCAGGCACTCTGCTTTGGCCAACAAATCTTTCAAATCTTTATCTGCATCTTCAGGCAGATCGGCCTTCTTGCCATTATTATTAATCAGTTTGGCAAAGAGGCCTGGAACAAATTCCTCAACTGTCGCTGGTTTCTCGTCTATTATGGTGTAGTATACATGGTTGTACTGAAAACACTTTCCCATTTCTTGTGGTGCCTGTGACTGGAACTTCTTTGTTAAGTGCCTAGCTACCTCATGCATTTGTACTTGCTTACGACAATGGCTCTATATATTAGTTTTTAATTGAGTACTAATTACTTCTTTGGACTTCTCGTTGTACGTTTTGATAACCCAGCGATTTGAAATGTTTTGGCCCCCAGATTTGCCAGTTAGCTTGCAGTGGTAAGCATCACGGAATCCACCTGAGGAAAACTTCTCTGAATCTACTGTACACTCTACCTCCATTGCATCTGTCCATTCTTTGGAGGCAATGTCAAATTGTTCAAAGGTTAGGAGACACTTGTTTTTGGTGACTGGTTTGATGAGCTTCCCAGCATCCAGCAATGAGGCAATGGATACGGATGGAGGAAACTGGGTTGTCACTGAGAACCTTCCATAATCTGCTTTTGGTTTTGGCGTAGCTGCCTCTCCCACTGGTGCTGATGATGCACCAGTTGTTCTTTGGAATGAGGAGTTATCCGAGAAACCTTCATGTACATGTGTTGGGTCAGAGCTATTGGAGTCCTCCCCATAATCTTGGCCAACTACAAACCGCACCAGATACACCTACATCGATTTTTATGCAGGGACAAAAGGGGGGGCCATATAAATTTATGCAAGTATTCAATGGTTCTGGGAGGAGGGCTACTCAGTTCAGAATGTGAAAAAAGGTACTGAATAATGCATTTAATAAGTACCAATAGAAAGTTATATGTGTTGGTGTACTAAAAGTGTGTGTGTACGTGCGATTGTATATCTATCGGGGGGGGGGTCAGAAAAAATGTGCTTCATGAAGTGGGGGGGTCAAAAAAAAAAGGAAAAAAGGCATACCTAATTTTGCACCAGCCCCCCACCCTCTAAATAATGACTGGTCCCTAATAGCGGGGTGTCCACAAGGCGAGAGTTGACTCTAGTGGGAAGCGGGTATGGTCTCAGGCTAAATTTATTTTAAATGGAATGACCCTCTTTAACTTATTAACAAATTATTTTTTTGTACATGCAATAGGTCTGAATGTGTCATGTGACTGAATATGTACCAGGTAAAACTGGGAAATATCCAAGAATGTACCCCTTTAAGCTAGGAACACACTAGGGGACTAGTCGCAGGGACTTAGTGTGCACACACTAGAAAATTGACCAATTTGTGGGACTATTGGTCCCTGCGACTAGTCCCAGAAATTAAACCAGCTTAATTCATGGGACTAGTCGCAGGGACCAAAAATGTTGTCCCTGCGGCTAGGATTTTGATGCAAAATATGGGTACAGACTAGGGGACTGGTTCCCAAAGCAAGTCCCTGTGACTAGTCCCCTTGTCTGTGCTGACCTTTATATGCATGCACTTTTAGTTTTTATTCCAAGTAAATTGTTTAACTGAATAAAGCTGAACATCTTAAACGGAATGGAACTATTTTGAAAGCCAACAGAGTTTCTTACATGTTAAATAGTTTTCAAAAGTCTCAAGTTGAGAGGCCTTGTCAGGTGTGAATATTGGTCCTTTAATACAGTTTTCCTCTAGTTTTACCCGAGAATATTTTTGCGCTATTGTTTATTTACCTAAGCTTAAATGCTTCGTACACGAACTCACCTTGTCCTTTCTATGAGGGATCTGTTCCATGCTGGTACAAGAGGGTCCCTTGTTTGTGACAAGAACATCACATAGGCTTGCTGGCAAACTGTAATGGTCAGCGAGAGCCTTCTTCAAGTTTGCTAACGTAAGATCCTTGTAAGGAAACGCCACAAACTCTCTTGATTGGATTGGCCTAAACGTTTGTTTGTTGTCTGGCTCAGATGCTAAACGTTGCACAATTAACTCGTGCGGAGCGGAACCAGATTTCTTGCTTTTGCCTTTTCTGCGAGGGTCCGGTCGCTTCCTCTTCGCCTTCATTTCATCTTGCAAATGGTTCTACGTTCGTTGTCGTCTATTCATCTGGATAAAAGGACTTTTTACTGTAGTTTGAACGAGAAAAGGGCAAGCCACAACCCACACGTGCACGAGTTACAGGAAATGCGAGCCGCCCTTCTGAAAGGAGTCCACTGACCTTACCTGTCGCAGGCTATGATAACAATGGGCTGCTTTCGAACATTTCATTTTGGACACAAATGTCGTGATGTTCCTTTTGGCCCAGCGTTATCATAGTAAACTTAAAATTATTTTGCATTTGTACTAAAGGTTTTTATCTTATTTATTTTTTAAATTATTTTTCACTTTAATTTTAACTTTTATGTATTTTTTAATTTTTAATCTTCCTTTACTTTTTTTTATTGAATTTCTTCAGTAGCTCCTGTTTTTTTTAATGTTTTATTTTAAATTCAACTTTTTTTTTGGATTGCTTTTACTTTTATTTTTTTATTATATTTTTTGCTTGTTTTTATTTATTATTTTTTTGTTTAAATAGGTCATCAATTTTTATTTTTAATATTTTTGGCCAATTATTTTATTATTATTTTTTAATTTTAGTTCTTTCTTTTTAATTTTTTTATCACATCCGTATACTTTATTCTCCTTTCTTTTTAAATTAAGGAAGCATCTCCAGCTGGTTTTGCTATGATAACAATGGGCCACCATACACTTCCCACATGTCAACATTGCTTTCATCCTTTCCTGTTAAAATGGCCGCAAAAAAGCGCTGAATTCTCTTAAAAAATTGTTTTTTTTGGACGTTAAAACAACTCTTTGCCATACATTTCTTTGTAGCAATTTGCATTGTTTGCCCCGTGGCAATCCCAGAACCCTTTGCGCATAGCAGAGGGATCCGATTATTGGCAACTCATTCATTGAATCTATTTGACATCAAAACAATCTGAAATTCAAACATTAAAAACTTCTTTAACTTCCTAGGTGTAAAAATTAAACAAGTGTGACTACTGTTTTGCTTTTTCGAACAACTTCTAACGTCCAGTGAGTTTTTGCACATTTTTGTAGGATTATTATGTTGAAACTCAGGACAGTTAGCAACTGAAGACATCTTAGCTGATCACTGATCATATTGGCTTGTTCTCAGTACTTGTATGAACCACTAATGAATATTTTAGTCGAAGATGCTTAAATGGACCAACAGGCAGTAGTGCTAGCAGCAATATATCTACACTTTTAGCAGCAGTGGCTTCTGAATCATCTCTGCTATCACTTCCACATTCAAGATGCCTTTTTAAGAACTGGTATTTTGCTACAACTAGAGTGATAGATGAAGGAAATGTCAAATATGAGAGGCACATTACCAGACTTGGAACACTGTTAGATATTGAATGAAAAATAGCAAAACATGGGAATCATAATACCCATCAATGGAAAAGTTAACAAAATCGGGAATTGTGAATTCCCAAGAATAGAAAATAAAGTTATAAAAAACCCAAAGTTGTGCATTTTGAATTCCCATGATGCAAAATTAAGTTATAAGAAGCCAAACTTGTAACTGGTGAATTCCCAAGGATGGGAAATTAAGTTTGAAAAAAAACACAAACTTGGGAATAGCTAATACCCAACTAAATGGACATTATGAACAGTCTCATTTTCCCAGTCAAAATCAGGTTTGGAATTAGATCGAGTATTTGTAAAAACCACAACAAATTATGCAAGGTAAATTCTATGTCAAATCATTTTTTCAATTGCTTCTGCAAGAATTGATTTCGTCTTATCATGTCAACTGATCAATACTTTTATAAAATTGTGAAAGTGCTTTTTAGTTGGGATTAGAACAATAAGGTAAGACAGAGTAAAGTTGTCAATGGGAATTTCGAATGGTGCTGTTATTTTTTAGAGTTGGTTGGCTCTGAAGTCATCACACGGTGTAGAGAATAAATGGACCCATATCATCTCTTATTAGAGGGAAATGTTTATTTCATAGACTTTCTGATGAACTAGAAGTAACGTGTCAAACTTGTGAATGACTGCCACTCAGAATGGTCTTCTGTTCCTGCTGGAGTGCTCATTATAATGGACAATGATCTAAGTGTTCAAGGAGTATCTATGTGGAAATTTGTTGATGACAACACTGTTTTAGAGGGCAAGAGTACGACCAAACAAGTAACATTCAAGCCGCTGTAGACAGTCTTTCCAGACAGTCTCTACTCAATGACTTCCAACTCAACGAAAGTAAATGTGAAGAGATCAGGGTCTATTTTGCAAAGAAGCAGCCTACAAACAACCCTGTAGAATTAAAAGGCAAGCCCCTCGAAGTAGTTTCTAAAATTGTGGGACTGAATACCAGTAATGATCTCAAATGGAATGGACACATCTCCGAATTAGTAAAGAAACCTCTTCCCACCTTTATTGCTTAAGGCAATATCAGTATAAACAGATATTTGTTATTTAAAAAAAGAGCAGTTATTTTGTGAGGTCTATCATCTCACAACAGTACGACCAAGAAATAAATAGGTGTGACGCTGATCGTGTTTGATCGGTGCAAAAGAAGTTGAATTTTTTAAATACAAGTAACGTAAAGGTGGTGTAGTGAGAATTATCCCATCTTTCATTTCACCGCTGCAATAAACAAAAAGTTTCCACTCATATTGGAAATGGTTGCTAAAATATGTAATACATTCCCTTCAAGTTCCCGTGGCCACTTTATTTGATCAAAATAAAAAGGCAAGGGATAATGTCAAATCGATCATGGAGGGGGGGGAGAGGTAAAGGGTAGTTTTATGACTTCATGCTTGGCCATTTTTGTGGAGTTCAAATCGTGATTAGGGGGTGGGAGGCTAAGCGAGTTGGTATGTACCTGGATACTCTGATGAAATGCTGCCAATCCGCCTATTATTAAAAGTGACAACTGTTTTATAATTTATAAAAGTGAGGCTTATCCTGAGTCGCATCTCGTCTGTTCACCACACAATCGCTAATATAATCGAAAATGGAGCACAAAACTACTAGAAAGAAGCAAGCGAGACGAGGAAAGGAGTGTGCGGCCTCTGAATGTACGAATACAGAATATTTACGCACTGGAAAATCGTCTGGCTTGCGATTTTTTCACTTCCCGAAAAAGCGTTCATTAATACAGCGATGGTGCAACCTTATCACAACGGTCGAGATGGGTTCGTAGTTACTTCAAATACTGTTATTTGCGAACAGCATTTTCCTGCTAGTGACATCTTCAAACGTCCAGGAGGAAGTAGAAGTAGATTACGTGATGGTAAGAGTTTATATAAGTTGATTCAGCTAAGTTGTAGCTGCTTTACGTAAACGAGTCCATTCTCAAATTATAAACACAATGAACTGATAAAATATATTCATTTCAGGAGCTGAACCATCGATATTTCGGTGGACGTCTGGTATCTGTAAACAGAAAAGAGCGTCACCAAAACTACGAATCCCAATGTCAGTCAATTCGACAGACACCACAACTTCAAAAGTGACAACAACCGAACCAACAACCACCACAACTTCAAAAGGGACAACAACC